TGCACCTACCACGCGTTGTATTGACCACGCATTATATTTACAACGCGTCGTATTTACCGCGCATTGAATTTATCACGCGTTGCTTACCACGTGCTGCACCTACCATGCATAGTACTTGCCTCGCCTTGTATTTACCACGCGTTACATTCACCATGCATTGATTTCTTACGCGTTGCACTCACCAAGCGTTGAATATACTATACATTGCATTTACCACGTATATATAATCCAGAAATAAAACTTCAATCCCTATTTTTGCAAAGGGAAATATTATTCAGAATCGCGTCTATCCTCCTACTAATTTTGAGACACCCTGTATAGTTACTTTCATAAGTACAATTAAACAATTATTCATCTATTTTTGCACAGTATATTTAACAGATTTCAAACATAATACATTCGACTAAATAAACACGTATTTCTATAGAAATAATTGTGTTTTTGTTTATCTTCTTTAAAGCATACGCAGACCTCATTGATGTTTGTCCAAGAAACATTGAATATAGACGTACGCCTTTTTGCACTCGTCAGCGATGTCGTCAACTAAAACAAAAATGTTTAAATTATCTCTTATATTTACAATTGCACTCTTACGTTTACAATATACATGTGGTACTAATGTATATTACCTTTATCAATGCATTCACTTGCACCTTTCTCCAATTTCTTAAGCAATTCCGGATTTTCACCGTGCACAACTCCGAGGAACGTGTTCACGTTGTGTTTATTTATCTTCGAGTGGTGCATCTTAAATAAAATAATGAATAATATTATTCAAATTACTAGTTTGTAATTATTAGTGCATTCGTGAGGTGTTCATAATAGATTTACGTACGAAGGCGCCCATTTTCATGACGCATGCACGAAGACACGTAGCATTCTCCTCTCCTAAGGTCATTTCCTTATCAAATATTTCTCGAGCATTCTCTGTAGTGTTTCAAAAATGTTTTCATGTAGAATTGGAAATATTTTGGAATTTGCGAAGTTGAGAAAAATGTTTGTAAGACAACTTACGGTCTGTGTAGCCATTTTCCTTGGCGCATGCTTGGATCGCTTCTTTCATTAATCCCAGATAGACGTCTATGTAATCCTCCGCACGAATCGTTGCCTGGAGTTGTAATACGCATTATTTATGTAATGTGAAGTTTAGGAATTTGGAGATTTGAGGATTTGAGGATGTGAGGATCTTGCTATATAGGGATTTAGGGGTTTGGAGATTTAATGATTTGGACACTTGGGCATTTGAACACTTCGGAGATTTGGGGATTTGGAGATTTGGACATTTGGTGATTTGGACACTTGGGCATTTGAACACTTTGGAGATTTGGAGATTTGGAAATTTGGAGATTTGAAGATTTGGAGATTTGGAGATTTGGAGATTTGAAAATTTGGAGATTTGCAAATTTGGAGATTTGGAGATTTGGAGATTTGGAGATTTGGAGATTTGGAGATTTGGACGTTTGGACGTTTGGATCTTTGGAAATTTGGATCTTTGGGAATTTGAATCTTTGCAGGTTTGGATCTTTAGAGATTTGGATCTTTGGAGATTTGGATCTTTGGAGATTTAGATCTTTGTAGATTTGTATCTTTGGAGATTTGGATTTTTGGAGATTTGGATCTTTGCAGATTTGGATCTTTACAGATTTGGATCTCTGGAAATTTGTATCTTTACAGATTTGGATCTCTGGAAATTTGTATCTTTGGAGATTTGGATCTTTGGAAATTTGTATCTTTGGAAATTTGTATCTTTGGAAATATGGATCTTTAGAGATTTGAGAATTTTGGATCTTTGGGATTTTGGAATTTAAGAATTGTATTATTCATTAACTTTAAAACCTTGATACAATACTTGACAACTACTGTACCCAACAAATGAATCACCCTGTACCTCTACTACCATACAAATCTCGCCTCAAATTCCAAATTACCAAAAAACAAATATAAATTACTTAATATTTTAAATTGTCACTACTCACAGCAATTAACAGAACACCAAGAACAATGAATCCACCCTTCATCTTGATATAGTTGAATCCGCAAGAGTAGCACAAAGTGAATCAGTTTATCGGTAACTAAATGATCTTCAGAAACGATCGCAATATTTATATCATAGTTCCAAAGACGTGCAAAAAACAAATGACGTGAAAATTAAATTTATGGTAAAACAAGTGCTTATTAACTAGATCGACAGGCATTGCAATCAATACTTGAAATCTTGCGTCTCACTATTTGATATCTTGTTAGCCTTGACTCTGAATGGACATTTTAATTAGAGAAAATTGAGTGATTGATAGGAGGATTGGTCATCAATATTTTTTGCCATTTGCTGTCAGGCATTGATTTATTTAAAAATTGTGATTGAGAATGAATGTAATAATTTTTATTTTTTGTTGGTGGTGATTTGGGAATTTGGGGAGTTTGTGAAATTTGAAGATTTGGGGAATTTGGGAATTTGGGAAATTTGAGGAATTTATAGAATTTACGAATTTGGGGATTTGGGGAATTTGGGGAATTGGAGGAATTTTTGAGAATGGGGGAATTTGGAAATGGGGGAAATTGGAAGTTGGGGAGTTTTGAGAATGGGGGAATTTAGAAATTGGCGAATGTGAGAATTTGGGAGTTTGGGAATTGGGGAATTTAGGAATTTGGAAATTTGAAAATTTGGAAACTTGGAAATTTAGAAAATTGGAAACTTGGAAATTTGGAAATTTGGAAATTTGGAAACTTAGAAATTTGGGAACTTGGAAATTTGGAAATTTGGAAATTTGGAAATTTGG